TTTAAGACTACAACTTACACCTACACGGTGAAATTTAAAGACTTTGCGCCTGACGTTCCAGTCGAGGAAGCATCATGTTTTATTACGGACTTGTCTGATTCGCTGTTAGAGGAACTCAAACATCAGTGTTAAGTCAAAGATCGAGGTCGTTTGGGCATATCTATGTAGCTTGACAGTTCGAACTCTCGTGTATGTCTCGGGTTTGGTACACCTGCAGAATTAACTTCTTCCAAACTATTGAGAGCTATTGCTTCGACGATACAGACGATGAGAGAAAAATTTGACATCACCAAGGGAAAAGTGACCATTCATAAGGCATAGGTTGTACTCCATTGAAAGAAGACAATTACCTCCATTGAGGTACCCATCACAATGGACATAATGGCAGATTTATGAATGAGAGATGGGAAACATCTACGCTGACCAAACAAGGCTCGCAAAAGCTGGACATTTTTCAACTTGTTTCAAAAATTCAATATTAAATCGTTACCCATTTGAGATCCTATATCTATGTATTACTTGTAAAATATGATGTAACTTTATCATAAGAAAAACTATGTCCTTTAAACAGTGAGCAAATAGTGTTAATATAGAATTTGTTGATTTCCATTGCGTATAACTCATACTGTAAAATAATCGTGTTCTAACTAAAACTCTAGATAGATAACTTTGTTTATGAGCACCTTGATAAGAAATTTAATATATAACTCATGAAACAACAAAGTTATTAAAAACAATTTTAATCAGTCGTTTTAGAATAATTATGCTCAAAATCATGATTGCATAAATTCCCAGCATTGGAAGACCATATGTGTAAAAAAATACTTTATACCGAGATGTCCCTAACTGATTACTTTCTTTCCTTTTAGTTAATTACATTCAATGTGGACGTCTGCATTTTCAAATAACCGATAAATCTGACTTTATAACTGACGATTTCGTCATTTGTTAAAAGAGGTCACAAAAATACTTAATTATCCTTATTTAAATATCTAAACGTTTTGACCAATTCTTTAAAACATTCAAAATGATTTTTAATTGTATTGTGCGTACAGCAATATAGAACAGCCAATACTTTTGAATTCTTATATCGCCCAAGCGGATAGGGCTGCACAAAAATTAACCCGATGAGTTAGATTTTGTAACCTATAAAGGTTTCCATCTATAACCAGATATTTTCTGAACACTATTTTCTTCAAGACATACCTTCTGTAGCCATCAAAGAACCATGACGTCATAATTTGATGGTAGCGAATAGGTAATGTCGAGTAATCCGAATATATTAATATTTATTTGTCTGCTTGTTGTTCGATGTTTTTTTAAAAAAGTGTTTTTCATTATGTGCCAGATTGTACTGTGATCATTTAAGATCAAATCTATGACATTCGTATATTCATTTCAACCCTTTTCTGCAAAAGATTCGCAAAAGACAAAAAATATTGAACTTATTCTATAAATGTCTTTAGCAAGAATCACATACGCTAAATGATGAGCTTGAAAGGTAACTCACATCGAAAGACACCCCCCCACCTAAAGAACCATTTAACTGTACACTCTTGAATGCAAAAAAAATGTCATTTATGCTTTTGGTGCGCATGATTTAAAAACAAAGCAAAATCACCCAATCATTATCAGCCGATTAAAAACGGCTTGAGTGCTAGAGCAGATACATATAGCGTCAGTGATTAATAGCAACATTATTTAGAACAAAATAAATGTTATAATTCAAGCGCATGCATAATTTCAACGTAATCGACGTATACGTGAATGCTATTTTGCATATAAGACGATTAGGGACTTATCTGTTGAAACCTATTTGAATCGTCATATTCAAAGTATAGCGTTGTTTTTATAAATTTCTGTTGTGTAATTTATGTGACATTGAATAGAAAAAAGAAGTCGTCAATGGTGGAGCTTAAATAATAATAATAATAATAATAATAATAATAATAATAATAATAATAATAATAATAATAATAATAATAATAATAATAATAATAATAATAATAATAATAATAATAATAATAATAATAATAATAATAATAATAATAATAATAATAATAATAATAATAATAATAATAATGATAATAATAACTAGGATAACTGATATGGTCAGGTGGAAAGCATCTGCTACGTGAACATCAATGTATAAATAAGTTATGTTGAAATTAAAGGTCACCACTTCCAAGTTAGTATGATGAATTCTAATTAAAATGCAGTTTTAGAGAATTCTAATATTTGTATATAATAGTCATGAGAGTTTATAGTTATTTTTGTCTGCCAGGTTACCGGTTTTGCTTTTTCAGTAGCGGTATAATTGCAACTTTTGTTAAATTATCTGGAACAAAGTTATGTACAAACATATAATTAATTAAAATCATCAAAAGTACCCAAGTCTGGTATCTGAAAATTTAAATGTTCCATATTAAAACAAATCTAATCATGGACATTTAATTCCTTTTCGTCTTGTTATTGCACTTTTGGATCTCGGATAGTGTGATAACCTTAATGAGAACAGAAGGTGTGTTCTACACGCTTCTTATTTTATTCCCTTTTAAATACACTGAGCAAGTCTTCAAATTGATTTTATCACACGTTGCATATATTATTTTGACCATGAAAGTTGTCATAATATTTTGTTTAACATGTTTCCAGAATTTATGTTTGTCGAAATTTTCAGATCCTACTAGGGTGTACATTATTTTCATATCACTTTTAGCGGAATGAGCAGATCATGGAGAGACAATGATCCAACCAACAGACTTTATTATGCGAATCATTGAGAATCATTGTAATTCTAATGAATAATCAACAGTATTTCCTCTTAAACGGTATCTAAACACAAGACTAAATATGTATGCAGATTATTATCACCACAAGAACATAGGAAATAATAATGAAAATATTGTCCTGCCCTACTTATTTCCAAACAGAACAAAAAAGTTAGCTAATATCTTTGTTAAAGATGATCACTACAATTTACAGTGATGAAAATTTGTACACATAATATACAGTCATGTACCAAAAAAAATAATTATATTATTGCACAATAAAAACCTACAGATTTTCTGGATAAAATTATACATATTCAATATTGAGAGGGGAGTGGCTTTAATATATAGTTTCAGCCAGTCCTAGGAAGTTTTAAATTAAAAAAGGAACTTAATTTGGATATCCACTGGTGTAGAGAGTTCCAATAGGAATTTAAATTGGATATCCACTGGGGTAGAGAATTCCAATGGGAATTTAAATTGGATATCCACTGGTGTAGAGAATTCCAATGGGAATTTAAATTGGATATCCACTGGTGTAGAGAATTCCAATGGGAATTTAAATTGGGTAACCACCGGGGTAGAGAATTCCAATTGGAATTTAAATTGGATATACAATGGGGTAGAGAATTCCAATGGGAATTTAAATTGGATATCCACTGGGGTAGAGAATTCAAAAGATAGCAGCTAATAAAGCTTTTGAAATGTTTGGTTCTCTACCTCAGGAGCTGGAATTAATTGTTGTAGGTTTGAGAGTATGCTTGTAATTTTAGAATCTTAGTTCTTTTCTGGGGAAATATTGCTTGGTTACTTATATATCAAACTAATGTATACATTTTGTATTGATAGTCATTACAAATGTAAAACCAACATATGAGGGAGACAAAAGTTTTATAACTATGCACTCTCTTCATTGTAAAGTTTGTTAATTCTGAATAGATTAGTTTTATGCATTTCTCCATGTGATGCACTATAGTCTTTCACTGGTAGTATATATTCAGTGAAAAAGTTCAATTGACTTGGAAGATAGAAACTTCAAAAGTAAATTTTAAAGAGTAATTCTTTTGATGCCATTGCACATAGGTAAACAATGGTTATTCCAACTGAGACGTTTATCAATGCAAATATGAAGTTTTTTCGTTTTATTTTTCAACATCAGACAAACTTGAGCACTCCAAATGAGATACAAATCCATGTCATTGGATGGGAATGATACCTTGTTCTCATTTGTTCCCATTTGCATATATTCTGTTTTAGATGCATTGATATTGCTTACGTTTTGTTTACATTGAACTAATACATTACTGAGGCTGAGGTAAAGTTTGTTTTCAAGAGTGCAGAAATTTGCCTGATCTATGCACTATAGAATGTTAGAATAAAGATCATTTCTGAATACAACTAGATTTACTGGCATATTATTGAAACACAGTATTGAAATACAGCTGAAGACGAAGAGATCCTAACACAGAGCCTTGAGGTACACTCGCCTAAAGTTTAGCTTCATTCCTGGCCAAAGGAAAAGCTGGAGCCACCAAAAAGGTATCTTACCTGAGGGAACTTTACTTGGCACAACTGAGACATTATGAAATCCAATATTACTGGGCATCTCTCGGGTTTTGCACTGGGCAGTGCTCTTTGTTTGGGTCCTCGTTGTTGTTGTGGTGGTGGTAGTTGTGGTAGTAGTACTTCTCTAGATTTTATTTTACTTCGTTCTGACACGTGAGGTGTTGAATAGACAGAAGCTGTCAATGATCCAGCCCCAACCAAGGACAAGGTCATCTTAGACAGACTGAAAAATTATGGCATCAAATGAACACAAATAAATATCATGAAGTAGATCTTGGCTTATACAATTCATATTAAAATATTAAATTCATGGTTTTTTTATTAAAAATCGGTGCTGGTTTTATGCATCTGAAAATATAACTTCTGGCATAATCAAACATCGGAATTGCACATTCTGCTTGCGATTTGGTCATGTACTTATTTGGCATATATGAACATTTTAATTGGAATTTGTAAGCATTTAATATATATATATATATATATATATATATATATATATATATATATATATATATATATATATATATATATATATATATATATTTGGGATGGGATGTGCAGGCATTTAGCATATATGTACATGTTAATTGGGGTGTAGGCATTTAGTTCATATTTTTTTAAATTGGAATGATTAGACATTTAGTATACTTGTACACATTAATTGACTGCTCTGATGGCCTAGTGGTTAGAGCATTTGCCTCAGATGCAGGAGGTCTTGGGTTCGATTCCTGGCTGAGTCATACCAAAGACTTATAAAAATGGTATTACCAACTGTCTCGCTTGTCACTCAGTATTAGGAGGTTAGTGTCAGAACAAGTCAGCTTGGTGTCACAAAATAAAGATGTGGTAAAAATGGTTTTCTTTGTAATGCTAAAAGGAGGTTTCAAAAAGTTTGGAAAAGTGAATTAACTGGTTCATGATGTGAAATAACATTCTGTTGCACATATAAACAGTTGAGTCATCATATTTACATTAGTTATAGTCTGCATTGGGTTAATCCATTGCCAGATTACAGGTTAGTCAAAGTGATTCAAAATAAAATGTTAACATTTCTGGTCAGCACATTAAAAAGAAATTTGGTTGCAGCATTGGGTTTGTTATGTATATGCATTTCTGGCTGAGAGTCAAGAACTGGCACATTTGAGTGATGACTGGTGCTTATAAAAGTTGTAAGGGCTATGTAAAGAGTAGTTAACATGTCTATGGTGCAAAACCATCACATGCATATAGGATTGGTACAATGTCTACATTTCTATTTTACTTGTCTTTTTCCATAATATTTAGCAAATTTGAATGCTTTTAGCATGAACAGTCACTCCTTAAATGCTAATCTACAACCACTCTGTACCTTAGTTTGTAAATGTGATAGACAAGGTCACCATATACTGATGATAATGCATCATTCTGTATGCCTTATCATTTATAGTGGTCTAAATAATACTTCAAAACAGCATTTAACATCTTTTTTTCAAAATATATAAAAAATGATTTCTTACAGCATTGTGATGTGATTATCTGATGTGATTATATGATGTGATTATAATTTTTAACACAGCTTTAACAATTTTTCAGTCATATCGCTATGATGTCTACAGTGTGGCAGTTTATAGTGATGTCTAGCACTGGGGCACCATGCTGCAGCATGATGTCCCAACCAGTCACATTATTCTGATACCAGGCTAACCATTCCTAACACTAACATCGTAATACTGAGCACCAAGCGATGCAACTGTTAGTACCATTTTTTTTAAAGTCTTTGGTATGACTCGATTGGGGATTGAACCACATCCAAGGCAGACGATCTTACAACATTGTTAAAATGTTGTGTTCCAATCTTTAACAGGACAAAGACAATAAATTGTATAAACATCACTTATAAAATTCAAGTTGTCAAGAATATGAATGGCCACTTGCAATTTGAGACCCAGTAAAGTTGATCAACAAACTTTGAACACAAGATGTTGTTCATGACAACTCCATCTGAAACAAAGCTAACACAAGCAGTTTTGACCCTAACCCTTGTATCTAAATCCACATTTACCATCTTACAGATCACAAATACAAGTACATGTACCTAGATGGCAGCAACAGTCTCATGGCAGCAAATTCGATTTCAAAAACTCGGTGCTCTGGATAACTGACATGTTGGTACTTCAGTTATATATTTGACATTAATATGTACAACAATGAAAAATGCTCATTCTGAAATTCCATAAATATCAATAAACAGCATACTTTCATATCTCAACATGTACTCTGGTAATATTTACTGAAGAAACAAAGATAACAGAAATAACAATAGAACCAGTAAACATTTATTCTTTCAACATTTTTTATCTTGACAATTTTAAGGGATTCATCATTTCTAAATTGCTCTACATGGCATCGAAGACTGGTTCAGGCAGTTGATTGAGAAAATATTAGAAATTTTCTAAATTGAAAGTAGAATCTTTTTAAAACTGGCAAATTTTTCAGGAAATCCCTTTCATACATCCTAATGCCTTGGGCTCACAAAGGTAGATGCCTGCAAAATAAGAAATGAATTGATAAGCACTATTAAAAATTTGAACTCACTCCTAAGACACACATACTTAAATCCTGAACAAGATTAGTCAGTGCCCTGTAATGGTTACTAGTGTTGGAACTATGTTTCATGTTGTGATACCAGAATGTAACCCCACATTTCTTCAGAAGTAAAACAGATACTTAAATATATGACAAATAACACACTCATCATTGTAATTTATCTACATGTGACATGAGATGTCAATATACAAGCTGAATGGATTTTAAAACTATCTGCTAGTAACAGAAACTCTGTTGACACCTTGGCATTACAAACACTAATCCCCTCAACAATTGGATTGGTAGTGCAATCATAGTAATACTATACCTTGTTGAGATGCGTACACATACCAATTTTTAAAAGGCAATCATTCAAAAGAAAATGTTTGATATTTTGTCCAATTTAGTAACATCAATTGCATTACTGATGTCAGTTTATTCCTCAGTAACCTTAAGTTCAGTTTATATATCGTGTTTGTCAACAAGAACAGAAGTTGGTTTATAGCAATGTCACCAATTGGTCCACCACAATGTTGTTTGATATAACAATACTGACACTTTCTAGTATTTCTGTCTGAAAAAAAGCCAACAATAAAATGGCTTCTAGACTATAATAAGAGGAGCAGCTATGTTTTGAAGCTTCAAAAAGTCCTTAAAATGGAAGCACACTCTACTGACCAATACAAATTATAGTGTGTGTGTGTGTGTGTGTGTGTGTGTGTGTGTGTGTGTGTGTGTGTATTTGTGCCAGAGATAAAACATCTTGGTGCATGGACATGTTCAGTGATTAAATAAATACTGCAAGGTATTGCCCATTATCAAATTTATATGGCTAAAATGATGCAAAATTTCTATTCAGTTTCTGACAGTAACATTTTGTACTATCTAAAATACAAGTAATTTGGTAAAAGAAATAATTAGAATTTCATGCAGTAATTCCAATCTTGACATTAATAAAAAGAACCAAATGACTGAAACTATTCTGACCGATGAACACTGCTGACCAAGCTAGGATAAGAGGCTGTCCATTTAGGACTTTGAAAAAAGTGATTTTTTATATCATCCCCCAATTGCAGGGTGTTCTTTTTCTAACCTATTCTCAGTGTGAACATATATAATTGCTTTGTACATCCTTGAAAGACTGCCAATTTGTCTGCATTTTTAATCAAATGGGAGTTTCCTTAATGACATGGTTTCCATATTTGCATGATTAAGTCGCTGTTTTCAAGCAACAGACTGAATCATTCACTGTGTTTAATAATCTCACTAATTCCATACAATTTGAAGTTATATTTTTATTTGTCCATTATTTCTAAAAATATTAAAAAGGTACATTGCAAATAATGGATGTAAATGACACAGTTCTAAATGTCATACATCATCCATCCTGGAAACCAGAAATGGGCAAAGTCACTAATCTAGCTGCCTAAAATTAAGTTATCGGTTACATATGGATTATTTAAAAAAAAAACAACAAGGAAAGACTCTTCTCTCCCTTTTTGAACAATTTTTATGGCCATGATCTGACCCACTTAATATGCAACTGCTGTACACTGAATGGTTGACTGGCCTCTTATTGGCTAATTGAAAGTGATGTACTGCACTTATTTATAACTTCTTTTCTTGATGCTTTTCATTTCTAAAATTGGTAGGGGGCTAAAAACAAATTGAAAAGTGTGGAAATACTATCAATTGTTTGTTGTTGGTTATGGCAAATAGGTTTTATTGTAACTTTAATGAAGATTAGTTATTAGGTATGTATGTACTACTCTGTCTCAATGCCACCCACACATATTCAAACTTCACTCCCCCATGTGTACATACAAAATAGGCAGTCCTCAACAATACAAAGTTTAATCCAAAGCCAACATAAGATTCACATGGAAACTAATATGTGTGAATTAAAAAATGACACTATGAAAATTATTCAAGTGAACACAAAATAGGCATGAAGTGTAAAACAGTAATAATGTTATATGCTGTGTATAGCATGGAGTGTAAAACAGTAATTATGTTATATGTTGTGTATATTTTGGAGTGTAAAATAGTAATTATGTTATATGCTGTGTATATTTTGGAGATGATAAACATACTAAAAAATGACAAAATGTCCAAATGTTAGCAACTGGACATGCACACAGCAAAATATAAATATAAAGTCAACAATGTTTAATACAGTTTGCAACTATGGTATCATTGTGCTTAAATTTTTTAGAGAAAATAAAATGACTGGATGTTAAGGAAAGGAACTTACAGTTTTGTGAATCAAATCTAAAATTAATCCAAGAATTAAAAAATTAGGTCATATTAATGAAAAGTCATAAGTGAATCACAGTTCAAATCTTGCTGCATTCATGATGGAAGTCAATGACTTCTTCAATAGTCAGCTATATCTGATATATCAACAGCTCTTTGTTGAATCACAGAAAATTATATTCCAATTTGGAATAACGAATATATTTCAGTGAATGTCTTTGTCCAAGAATTCTGTATGGGTACTAGTACTTTCCACGTAAATGAAGCACTAATTCCATAAAATACAAAATTAAGCTCAAACTGGTCACAAGAAGACACCTTTAAGAGTCAAAGGTTTAAGGCCCAACTGGCTAGTTCTTATGAAGAAAACAGTTATACACTAAGTTAAGACACAAAACAGATTCCCATATGAGGGTCACGTGGTCATCCTTCCTGAAGGAATATAAATTTATTACATGATAATTATCGCGTACTCTATGTACAGCACTGATTCCAATGAATGAATCTTACTATTAGAATGAATTTTTAAAAATTAAAAAATTTGTTTAAACAAAACGGATCTCAGTTATCCACTAGCTCCATTGTTTCTACTGCTGGTTGTTTATCAGAAATAACAGTCAGGTCAAACAGAACTGAATTAAATTTCTAAAATTTCAAATCGAGTAGACAGTTATCATTACAATAATTAGAAATAGAATATAAAAAATTTCAACTAACAAACATATAATTAAATTACATATACATAACATACACAAGATATAGTCATAAAAACAAATAATGCAAATTATATATATATATATATATATATATATATATATATATATATATATATATATATATATATATATATATATATATATATATATATATATATATATATATATATATAACATGGTTAATAACAGTCCTTTCTAGTGTG